TGATGATGGTGGTAGTGATGATGATAATGATGGTGATGGTGATGATGGTAGTGGTGATAATGAAGGTGATGGTGATGATGGTGTTGGTGATGATGATAATGATGGTGATGGTGATGATGATGATGGTGGTAGGGATGATGATAATGATGGTGATGGTGATGGTGGTTGTGGTGATGATGATGATGATGATGATGATAGCAGTTAGCTTATGGAGTACTTACAGTATCCCAGACACTGTGCTTAGGGTTACCCACATATTAACTTCCATCTTTAGCAGGTACTAATTTTATCCTCAGATAGATAAGCAGAAGAAGGCATAGAAGGCTTAACTAACCTCCCCAAGGCTCTGGAAGCAGAGCTGGGCTTTGAACCCAGGAGGTCCAGAGATCAGAGCCCCAGTGCTTAAGCACTACACTATATTCTCATTCAAAAAGATGAACAAGGAAAGAGTTGGACTAGCTCATCTCCAGGGCACCTTCCAGTTCTACCGTGCTTAGATTCTAGGAATGCAGACTTTTAAAGCACTACTTGCAAGGCTGTTTTACTGAAGGGTGACTCCCTACCCCATTCCTTTGTCCCCCAAGCACACATACACACGAAAATGGCAACTCAGCAGGAGCAAGTATCTAGACTGACTTCCTCGCACTGCATTCTCGGAGTGAGAAAAGGTGTCTGGCACACAGTAGTTGCTCAACAAACAGTTGTTGAATGAATGACTCCAGAGTTGGACATAAAGCAGGCAGTCAAGGGGAGAGCGTTAATGCAATTTTGGGGTTACACATTGTTTTAAAGTTAATTGAAGGCAGATACTTCTTTTTCCAACTTGGAAAAATAACTAAAAAACTGACAGTAAATAGCAGAAGAATTTGGCAAGCCTTTTCCTTGATAGATGTTATTTAGGCTAACCATTTCTCCATTCTATTGTCTGCCAAGTACAGGACATCAAAATCAGTAATTGTCACAACTGCCAAAACAATAACAATTACACTATAGCAATGGTGACAAAAGGAGCTTATTGTAATTATACCAAATCTGTTCTGAGTTACTCATGCCCATTGCACATTTGCATCAGAATATCTTAGGGCAAGGTCTGCTTTATTGGGTGGAGAGAATATAATTTTCTTTCTGACTGGTGCAGGAAACACACCACAGAAAACCGACTTGGAGATGCTAAACTTTTCATTAAGAAAAAGTTTTAATACTGCACCCTGTATGAGGCAACCTCATGCCAAATCGCTCTTCCTGGAGCTACTTACTCAGAGGACAGATGAAGTTGGGAGGAAGATATTACGCTGAACAGCATCTCCAGCAACTGGTTTCTGAGCCAGATTGTCTTTCCAGATGTTTGGCTTCCAGCTACAAAAAAGGGAAATTCAGATTTGAGAGAAAACGGATGTAAAGAGACATAATATTTGCTGCAGTAAGCAATCGTATTCACCAAATGCTTAGTTCACTCAGGAATTTAGGCATGGATGAGACTCGAAATTTTGGCATTCGAGTCTAGACTTCTATGCAATGCTTAAAAAGAATTTCAGGAAATGTTCCTAAAGTTCCCTTTAACCGGAGATTTTTTTGATGCTTCCCATCACCCCCCCCAAAAAAAATCCTAAAAATAAGGTCAAATTTATCTTCCAGTAGAAGAATGTTTTTTTCCATTATCATAGGCTGCAACATTTCTTGACCACCTACTACATGCTGGGAATTATGGGAGGCACTGGGAACAGAGTGGTGGAGATTTTGAGTACTCGATCTTAATTCCTGTTCTCAATGTGCTTCCAGGCTAGGCCTTCAGCATGCCGATGTCACACTAAAAACAGAGCTTGAATTGCAGAGTTCAGAATGAAGTCCATATAAGAAGGAGGGGTGACTAAATAAGCTTACTTTTGTCCCATTATCCATTCATTCATTCATTCATTCCCTTGGTTAGCCAGTTATTTTACAAGCAATTCAGGGCACACAAACCATACTGCAGAAATAGGACTGATGAGGCAGCTTGGAGAAGTGGGGTCAGATTTCTCTCTACTTGGATTCTGGCCCCAAAGGTCTTAATCTCTCTGAGACTCTGTTTTCTTGTCTGCAAAATGGGAATAGTAATTCCTACTACTCAGGTTTGACCTAAGGATGATTTTTCTAGTTTGAGTAACACTGTCCAATAGAATCTTTTGCAATAAAAAGAATGTTTTATATCTCCCCTGTCTGATGCAGTAACCACTAGCCTCATGTGATTAGTGAGTACTTGGAATGTCACTAGTGTGACTGAGGAATTGAACTTTTAATTGTATTTAACTTCTATCAATTAAAATTTAAATTTAAGTGGCCACAGGTGACTAGAGGCTCCCATCAGATCTGGAGGGCCCAGGACAAAGTGGTCAGTAACGGTTCCCTTCACACGTGCCCTAGCAGAAGGAACATGACAGAGCTCTTGTTCGGCATCTGGTTGGGAGGAGAGAAGCTCAAAGAAACAAATCACAAACCTGTGCATTAGAGTAAGTCCAAGGGTTTTAGAAGCAGAGGAGGTGACTTAACTGGCTTGGTGGGACTGGGGAGGCATTTCTGCCTCCAGTGGGTGAAGCAGGGAGTGGGGTGGGACCAGGGAGGCATTTCTGCCAAGGGAACAGCACGTGCAAAGCATGGCTGGAGGGCAGAGCATCACACACTAGGATGTGGAGGTGCTTCAGAGTGCTGAAGTTGGGGCTCATCAGGGGAGCAAGGGTAGGAGAGATTCAACCAGGAAGGTAGGCAGGAACTGGATCATGAAGGATTCCACCTGTTGGCCTATAGGGAACTGAGTTTTATCCTGGAGGTCTTGGAAGCCATTCCAGGTTGTGAAGAAAGAATAATTTGATCTGATTGCAACCCTACTCATAAAAACTATGACCTCACAAGCCAGTACTTGGGAACAACTGCTCAGTTGTGGGTACCTTCCCCTTCCTTTGCCTCAGCCCTTCCCTCTACAAAATGGCCCCATGACAGGTGGCTCTCAGGGGTTCCATAAGGCTCATCCTGCTGCCTTCAGATTGGTGTCTGAAAGGTCTTCTCACCAGGCACTGAGGAGTCCAGGTCCCCATCCATGCAGATCTGCCTCTCGTTCACCGAAGAAGGCTTGAGGGTGTACACAACAAACAGCCCGATTCTTAATGCAGAGAGAGAAGGATACATTCAGTGGTGGGCTCAACCCATGTTTGCTCAACACGTATAAAGGTTTTGTACATAGATCCACCCAAATCAGCTTCAAGGGAGGGTTTGAGACGAATCATGTTATTCTGTGATCAATGCAATGTTTCCAAAGACTTCTAAAATCTGTCCGGATTCATCAGAGCAGTTAGCTCTGGCTCTGCCAGATCAACAGAACAGATATCAATGAGGATGGAAAAGGCTAAATACCATGCCACCTGGGACCCTCCTTTGGGAAGTCTGCAAAAAGCAGACCTGTTGAGTCAATGGCTGATGCGGATGACTGTGCTCATGGAAATTCTCGAATTCTTGGCATAATAAGTGTGTCTGAGCACCAGGGAGCAGTGAGCACATAGTCCTGCTGGGGGTCTAGCAGACCCGCCCCTTTTCTCAACTCTCCACCCTGAACAGAACCTCTAGAAGGTTCCAAGGAAATGGAATCTGTCACTGCATTGAAGGGTAATGTTGCTGGGTCGTGTGTGGTCAGGAGAGAACTGGGGCCTATATTCTCTTGTGAAATAGTCCCAAGGCTCTGCCCATCCCCCTGGGAAGCCTGGCACAGTACCTGAGCAAGTCCTGGATGCTGAAGTGGCCCCTCAGCTGACAGCCCAGGATGGCAATGATGGTGGGGATCTTGGAGAAGGTGAGGCCCGGCTCATTGAAGAGGAAGACGAGCTTGGGTATAAGCTGTGCCTGGTGAGCAACTTCAGCATTCCGGGGTCCTTCCCTGTGAGCCCAGGAGAGAGGCAGTAAAAGCTTTTACTGGAATGAACCAAATTTGCTGTGTTTCTGCTAAAAAGGTTTCCTAGGCTGGGCTTGCTCTGTGGCCCTCCGACTCCAAAGCTTTCTTGGCAACTCATCAAAATACTGTCAGACACCCATTGAATATGTGTCTGCCAAGTGCCAGAGTTGCTCAGGGATGAGCCTCCCATGCCCTTCCACCCCCGGAAACTGCCTTCAAAGACAACCCCCAGTTATTGACTTTTAAATTCTAAGCCTCGGGGAAAACTAATGCCGGTCTCAGAAAACTCAGAACAAAGACAGCAGACTCGTATGTGACCGCGGAGCACTTCCCAACAGCCAGGAGCGCGGGGCCCTTGGTGAGTCTGTCTGGGTGTGTACTCTTCCTGCCCGCCCCAAACCACAAAGTGGATGAACACGCCACTGAGAGTCAAAGGGGAAAAAGACAGAATTCAAGCATCCACATCCTCCTTCTTAGGATAATCACAAATTCAATTTCCAGTAAATTCTCCCCCCCTCCGCCAAAGATAAGTGTCCATCTTTTAGAAACAAGTACAGAAAGAAAGTGGTAAAGAAAAAAAGGAAGATGAAGGAGGGTGAATTGGGGTGGCTTGCTCCTTCTTGAGCTGTCCTGTCAGTACTAATAGGATAAATTCTGCCAAACTCCGCATCCCTGATAGACACAGAGGCAGAACCAGCCCAGTTCTGTGTGTGGTTTGTATCCATCGGCCTAACAGGGAAGATGTGCGCTCATCCACCTACAAGCTCCCAGTGTGTTTTGTCCTCTTTCTTGTCACAGCACTAAGAGGCCTGCTTGTCTGTATTCCTTCTCCACAGGACTGGCCTTTTCTTCTTGAACTTCCAGCACTGAGAACTGGGTATGAAATGGAATGGGTTTGTAATAGACACCCATTGAGTGACTGAATGAAAAGATGCTCACAAATATATTCCAAAACATCAAAGGTGCTAATGATAAGTTGAAACAGACCTCCATGAGGAGGCAGGTGGATGTGGGGGTGACCAACCTGACAGGTGAGGAAGGAGATGGGTTGCTATGGCAGCTTTCCTGCCTCCCTTTTCCCTTATTCTGATCCCAGTCCCTGGTTTTCTTTGGGGGCCTACCACGTTCTAACTCCCCTCCACCCTTTCCAGAAGTGAAGTCATGCCACATGACCCAAGATGGCCCAGTGAGACTCCATCCTATTGCTGAGACTAAGGAGGAAAAAAGAAGCCCTCTGTGTTGCCTGTGCTGGCCGAGGATGTGCTCTGAGGAGCTGCACGGAGGCCATCTTGCCGTCTGCCCACATGAAGCCAGCACAGAAGAAAGCATGGACAAGACGGGTGACAGGTCTAAGACGAAGCAGTGTAAGCGCCACCCAGCCACGTGGGAAAATCTGCCCCATTCCAATGTATGAGCCAATAAAATCCCCTTTCTCAACCTTCCTTTTGCCCTCCCTCCTCCCTTCCTTTTTTCCTCCCTTCCTTCCTTCCCTAAGTTGGTTTGAATTGTATTTCTACCACTTGCAACCAAAAGAGCCCTGAACAATTTAAAAAGTGACTTGGAGAGGTCACTTTGAGGGTAAGTGGGTTGAGGGGCAAATGGGACATAGAGAAGTGTTTTCGTTTGCTGAGCCCCTGAAAGGGTGCTAGCTGCAGAGCTGGAGAGTCCCCTCCTGGGGCCCAAATCCACCAGGGGAGAGACTTGCCCCACATACGTGAGCCACTGGGAAGGACACTGCCTCAGACTGAATATGTGCCCCCAAGATTCATACGTTAAAACCTAACCGTCAGTGCGACAGTATTTGGAGGTGTGGCCTTTGGGAGGTAAACAGGTCATGAGAATGGGGCCCTCGTGATGGGATTAGTGCCTATATATAAAAGAGATGCCAGCGAGCCCTCACCCCTCCCACCAGGTGACATTATAGGGAGAAGACTGCTCTTAACCAGGAAGCGGGACCCTCACCAGACACCGAATCTGCCAGAGCCTTGATGTTGGACTTCCAGCCCCTAGAACTGTAAGAAATAAACTTCTGCTGTTTATATGCCACCCTGTCTATCATATTTTGTTACAGCAGCCCATATGGACTGAGACAGACGTGCTGCCACCTGGGAACTCAGCGCTCTGGAAATGGGAGAAGGCCGTGGTTGCTGAGCCACTTCCTGTCCCACCCCCTCGGTTCCCCTTCTTGGTATGAAGCCATTAGTTCTAGCCCCCACCCTGCCCAAGCCTGGCCTACCTTGGTGATCGAAGGATTTCCACAAGGTGGGAAAAGAGGGAGTGCTCCAGGTTGTCCGCAGTATTCATCCAGAGCTGGAGACAACAAGCACAGAGTGAAACCAAGACGTGTGTGAAGAAGGGACTCCAGGCAGCGTGAGCAGGTACAGGGCTGAACGTGCTCTCCTTACACTTGAAATCACTAACACCATTTAGCAGCTCAGGAATCAGACCAGCTCTCCCAACACCTAGAACTTAGAGGCGGACTTTCCCGGGGGGAAGCTCAGACACCCTTCCTCTCTTCCCCATCTCTGCTGCTGCCCAGTGCTTCCGTGGGAGTCTAGATTGGAACCAAGGACACCCGCTGTAACCTGTGTCTGGCCCTCAGCCCTGTAGCCCCTATAGCCACACACCAAATGCAACTCATCCTCACTGGAGCCTGGAAGGCAAGTGCCAGTCTTCCCAAGAGAGAGATGAGGAAACAGAGGCTGAGACAGACCAGTTGAGGGACAGGTCCCACTCACCACCAGCAAGTGTTAGGACTGGAATGAGAAGCCGAGTCTTGCCTGTCTGGTTTGATGCTACCGCGACCACGCACCCAACTTGTGCACACATCACTTTCTTCAGTTCCCTCCTCCATGAAACGTGCAGCACAGCCCCCTCCCCTCCCACCCGGCCGCACTGTGAGCGGCACACCGAAGGGAATGCACTCAGATTCCAAGAGTGAACTTCATCACTCAGGTTGTTTTCATTCACAGTAGACAAAACGCAGCTGCTAACCTAACCGTCCTGCTGGGGCAAAGTGGATGGCGTGCCTTCAGGTCTCCTGTCTGTTCCCCTTTAGAGAGCTCTACTATTTCTTACTTGCAAATACTGACAATTCTTAGGGCCCAGAAAGGAGAAGGTTCTGATGTGCGATTGTAAGAGTGCATTCAGGGAGCAGCTAAAAGAGCTCACACTTATATAAATGAGACCATTTTCTAGAGGCAAGAAGTGCCCTGCAAAGTCCTAAAATGGTATCATTATCTGCATGTAGTAGCTAAGAAGAGTGAAGCTCAGAGAGACTCAGAAACTTGCCTGCGCCCCACGGTTTCTAACCGGCAGAGCCCAGCTTCAAAGCCTGGTCTGTCTGACCATCGAGCCCATCCTCTTGTCTCCTCACTGCGCTCCCCACAGGCATCTCCTGCAGACGATGACCCATAGGGTCAATAATCGACCTCACTTGAATCAAGTGGGTGACCGTGGCCCCATCCTCTCACTTCAGAGTGAAAGCAAAGGAGCCTCAAAGGACTCAAGTTTCTGAGGAGGCCCGTGAAGGTAGAGACCACCCCTCTGACTAGTCCCCACACATGCCACATAGAGAGCACTTAATAAGGACCCATCAAGTTTTTTAAAAGAGTGAATGCAAAGTAAATCAAGGTAAAATAAGTGGATAAGTGGATTGCTCTTAAGCCAGAAGCACACTAACAGATTTCCAGCTCCTGTTTGCACAGCCACTGCCTGGCATACACAGAAGAGGGCAGCTGCCATTTGGGACAGCTGGTGTGGGCTGATGTGGCCCCGGTAGGGATGGGGGTAGGTAGGCACGGCACCCCAACATGCAAGTCTGTAGGAGTCCAAGAGCCTGCACACTTGGAATGTTCATTCATGAAGTCAGACATTGAGCAAATGCTTTGTCCGACTCAGTGCCAGGAGAACTGAGATAATAAGATTGGACCAACCAATCTTGTGTGCCCGTGAGCCCTTACCTTTCCCGCAGAAGCATATTCCTGTTTCCTTTCCAGAGCACTAGAACAATAAAAAGCTGCCACACCACACTGGAGGCTGCCTAGCTCTTTAGAAATTACATAATACCAAGTATCTGAATTTGGGGAAACACGGATAATTGAATCTTTTGGTTATTATCCTGTGTCACATAACCTCTGTACTGAGAACTGCATTGAGATGTCTGGATTAGATTTCTTTAAATATCAAATGGATAATACATCAGATTTTGCCTTCTCCCCACCCCTGGAACCACCTCACTCTCAGAATGGGCTGGCCTATTCCTTCTTCAGGGAACCCAAAGCCTCGACCTCCTGCCTTTCTCCTGCTTCTCAACTTCCTGTCTCTCCCCTGCTTCTCAATTTCCTGTCTCTCCCTACTTCTCAACTTCCTGTCTCTCCCCTGCTTCTCAACTTCCTGTCTCTCTCTGCTTCTCAACCTCCTGCCCCTCCCCTGCTTCTCAACTTCCTGTCTCCCTCCTCCCTTTAAACTGTCTGTCCCGATTATCATGCATGGAATCCACCTTTTCTCTTGTAACCCACTCTTTTATCTCTAAACTTTCCCTCTCAATAGTGGGAAAGGCTTGTCCCATCAACAGTGATTTTCCCACTGGTATTTTTAACCATCCTTTACTGTTGCTTCCTCCTCCACAGCCTAAAGCCAGACTCAGGTCCCTTAAGTCTTGAAACTTCCTCCCTTCTATTTTCTTCTTTTTTTCTTCTTCAAAAGCCCACAAGCCCACTCACTGGCTTGACTCCATCCTCCTCCCCCCACCTCACTTCTGACTCCATTACTTATTTATGTTTTCCTAGGCCTGTCAGTGACCTTCAGTTGACCTCCAAGTGACTTCCAAATTTTACACAGTCCTACAAATTACAAAATCTACAACTGAACACATCCTTGCCCTTACTTTACTTGATAGAGGCAGACATTTGGAAAAGTTCTCTTCTTTTTGAAATTTTGTCCTCCTAATCTTTTATTTCATTTCATTTCATTTTGTTTTACTTGTTTTTTTTTAGCTTCCAGTTTTTATGGGTTGCTTGTTTTCTTAACTCCAGCTTTAAAAGCACCAGCTTACCTAAAAGTTTACTCAGGGAGGGGTGGGGTGGTACCCATGGTCGTTCCAGGAGCAGGCAGTAGGAGGGTGGTGGGTTCCTCCGTGGGTAATTTCTGGGCCAGGCTGCTGGTGGACATGCTTTGGAGCCAAGCTGCCTGAACTCAGCCACAGCATTTTGGAAGGTACAGGTGTGCAGCCAAGGCACGCTGTCCTGTTTATCAGTGTAGTGAGGTCATTTACGCATGTCTCCTTTCCTCTTGTGCACTAGGAGCCTACATTCCACACCTGGCTGGCTTCCGGCATAACCCTCTCATCCACATCTTCAGACCCAGATCCAGGGCCTGGTTCAATTAGCTAATATTTTATTTAGGATTTTTGGAGCTATATTTATAAATAAGATTGGCCTGTACTTTTTCATTTCCCATACTGTCCTTTTTTGGTTCTGCAATCAAGATTGGCTCATAAAATAAGCTGGGAGCACTCTCTTTCCAGTTTCCTGGAAGAGTTGATAAGGCTGGAATGGCCAATTTCCTGATTGGCAGAACTTCCCTACAGACACCCTGGGCCTGGACTTGCCTTATGGATGTTGTTTGTAAGATTTTAAACCTGTGATTCTGTTATTTGATGCTTATGGGACCATTTGAGTTTTTATTTCTTTTTGAGTGAATTTTGGAAACAAATTTTCTTAGAGATTGTTCAAATGAGCTAAGTGTTCACATTTATTGGCACCAAGTTGCTGATCCTATTTTCTTGTTGCCTTTCTAATTGCTCATTCCTCTGTAGTTATTCTTCCCTTTCCTTCCTAATATTATCTAGTTGTGCGTCCTGTTTGTTTTCTTTCCCCCTTAGCCAATCTCAACAGGTCTGTCTGTGTTATGAGAACTAGTTATTGGCCTCGGTGACCCTTTCTATGTTTGTTTCTTTCCTACTTAAGTAATGTTCTCACCTCTTTTTCCCTCCTCCTTTCTCTGAATTTTGTTTTTGTTTGTTTTTTTTGTTTGGGGTTTTTATGTTTCCATTTTTGTTTGTTCATTCTAACTTCTTGATCTAAAGGTTCTGTTCATTAATTTTAAATGTTCTTTTTTCTAATATATATACACTGATGACTATAAACTTTCCTCTAAATCTAGCTTTCATCAGCACACCCCACCCCACAGTGCTTTGTTATACGCAGTGTTATACAGTGTGTTCCTTTCATTCAGTTCTAAATCACTTCTAATTTGAATGATGAGCTTCATTAATCCTCTTTATCCCACTGTCTTTGTCAAAATTCAGGCTTCAAAATCTTCTATCTGGATTTCTGTAGCAATCTCACAACCCATTCTCCCTTGCCTTGGGCTCCTGCCACCAGAGTAATAGGCGTAAAATAAAATTCTAACATGTCATTCTTTTCTTAATGTCCTTAGGTATCAGGAGTTTCGCAAAACTTAGCAATAACCTAAAACTTATCTATAAAGCCTTTAACCTAATAATTCAACTTTGATCATTTATTCAAAGGAAATAGTTTTTAAAGCAGGGGAAATGTATGCACAAAACAACAAAACAACATTATTCAAAACAACAATATAGGGGGAAAATCTAAGACTTTGACAATAGGAGAATGGTGAAGAAACCAGGAACTTGCTATAAGACAGATATTATTCTGATTCAGAACAAATCTTGTAAAAGCCCATAATAAATGTTTTTAAATGTGAAGTTCAGATCTTTAACAAGCATTATTAGTGAGGGCCATTGAAGGAGTAGTGATGGAGAGTTGAAGAGTATTGCTTGCTGGGAGTCTATGAGATTAAGAAAGGGCATGATGTGATGGAGGGGACCTTGAATTCTTGATTGGACGGGTCTCATGAATGCACTTCTGGACTAACAGTGACTTGGTGTGCAGCAATACAGCACAGGTCATAAGGGCTTTCCTAGCACTCATGTGTTTCTAGTTTTAAATACCTCCCTCCTTTATTCCCTGGCCCCTTGTGTGTTTCTCAAGCCCTTTTCCTCCCCATTTTGCCTTTCCATGGACCAGGGCTGTGTCTTTGCCACTGTCTGGTTCTTAGAGTCCCAGACTTTGGGAGATGAGCTCTAGGGGGGGTTTCTCCCTCTCTCTCCATCTTGTAATGAGATGTAGTATTTACTCTTAACACAGGAGCATTTGGAACTGGAGTTCTGAGGAGAGAGTAAGGGTTGTGCTAGTGACTTGCTTGGCTGATGGTTTCTCTTCCAAAGGCATAGGCTCCAGAGCTTCCTAACATAGTCAGATGTGAGGAGCAGACAAGTGTCTTTTCCCTTTCATTAAAAGTATTTTAACCAAAAAAGAAAAAAGAAGAGTCCATAGTAAGTATTTTTAATGTCTGTTATGTGAGAAAAGGCAGGACTTAAAATATATCTACACTATGATCACGACTATGATATAAAAATATGTATATTATGCATAGAAAGTACAAAAAAGCAATGCCTTAAAAGTTGACAATGGTCAACTTTTCTGTAATTTTAAATATTTAAAATTTAAATATTCTATAATAAGCATGTATCATTTTTTAAATTAAGAAAATCCATTTTTCCTTCTAGAACTGGCTAAAGCGCACATCCTGTCATGCAGCCTAGCATCTCCCACCTGTCTCAACTTCCTCCCCGTCCAGCCTCACCTCTCCCTGCAACAAACAGCCCTGCAGGCACCCTCCAAGCCACTTGCTCTCAAATCCCCATGGTTGTTCCCATCCCTCCTGTGTGCAAATAGCATACACTCCACTTGGAATGTTCCCCCACTGAAAGCATTCTGCCCAACTCAGCCCCAGAGTTCCTGATCTGCAAATCTGAACGGACTGTGCTCTCACCCCACTCCCCTGATGCCTGTGCCTGTCTCGCCGTGATGTCTAGCACATTGTAGTGTCACCTTGGTCATGTCCTGGGCCCAGGCAGCTGTGTCAAGAGGCTGGATCCTGGTTATCAGCATGTCTCCAGGACATGGCCAGTGCCTGACCCCATGGGCACTCTGGAAATGGTGCTTTGTGACTAGAGCAATCCACCCGAAGTTCTGTGCAGTACCCCTTACTTAGGCTCAGGCCTGCCCTCAGGGTCTCTCAGTCAGCGCTTTCAAGAAGTATTTGTCAACAGCAAAGCACCATCTAAAGGAACTGGGGTATATATATCTTTAAGCCCATATATATATGGTACCCTACAGTTTTAGAATCCGTTCCCAGATACTATCTGGTTTGACCCCCAGCCTGTGAGGGAGAGGTGATGCTTCCCATTTCACACACAAGAAGACTAGAACTCAGAGAAATCAAGAGACTTGCCCAAGGCCACACAGCCCATTGATGGTCTCTTATTAATTACAAACCCAGGCCTCTGGGCTCCAAAGCCTTTGAGGTTTTCCCTCTCACCACCCTCATGATTACTGAGGAAGCTGGCCTGCTGAGTTTAGAGGAAGCTCCCGATGTTCTTTACCATCACACACACTCACTCCTTCAGGGCTAATGTCCAGTCTCCAGTTTACCTCAAAATTGCAGAGGATGTGTTGAAAGACGCCAACGTTGGTGACAGCAGATGACCCGAAGCCTAGTTCTGCAGTGCCAGCAATCGAGAGGATGAGCTGAAAAATTCGATGGTTTAGGAGAGAGGTCTTTTTCCTCAGGAGAAAAGCCATTATCTGAAAAAGTTAAAACACAGAGCAATTTCCTCGTGAATGCATCATTAGAACTCTTTCTCCTTCACCTGCTTGTGCCCACCAGCACCTGTCGTCAGCCCAGCCTGCAAGCCCTCTGCTCTCTGGTGCTACCTCCTTCATTCCCATATTCTCAGTGGAAAAACACATACCAACTTCTGTGGCCGCTTCCCACCAGTGTCTACTTTTCTGTACTTGTGTACTTGTGTGACTTGACCTCTCACTAGGGACCCCCTGCTTCTTCCTGAAAATCTCCCCCTGTGTTTCCAGAATGCCACTCTCTCTTGGTTTCCTCCTACATTTCTTTCTTTTTTGTTTTGTTTTGTTTTTTTTTTAGTTTCAGAGGTAGAGTTTAGTGATTCATCAGTTGCATATAACACCCAGTGCTCATTACATCAAGTGCCCTCCTTAATGCCCATCACCTAGTTACCCCATCCCCCCTACCTTGCCTCCAGCAGCCCTCAGTTTGTTTCCTAGAGTTAAGAGTCTCTTATGGGGGCACCTGGGTGGCTCAGTTGGTTAAGCGGCTCCCTTCAGCTCAGGTCATGATCCCAGGGTCCTGGGATCGAGCCCCACGTCTGGCTCCCTGCTCAGCGAGGAGCCTGCTTCTCCCGCTCCCTCTGCCTGCCACTCTGTCTACTTGTGCTTTCTCTCTATCTGTCAACTAAATAAATAAAATCTTTAAAAAAAAAAAAAGAGTCTCTTATGGTTTGCCTCCCTCTCAATTTTCATCTTATTTTATTTTTCCTTCCCTTCCCCTATGTTCATCTGTTTCTTAAATTCTGCATATGAGTGAAATCATATGGTATTTGTCTTCCTCTTACTGACTTATTTTGCTTAGCAAAATACTCTCTAACTCCATCCATGTCATTGTACATGGTACGATCTCATTCTTTTTGATGCCTGAGTAATATTCCATTTAAAAAATATATATACACACACACACACATATATACATATAAACATACACACACACACCACATCTTCTTTCTCCATTCATCTGTTAGTGGACATCTGAGCTCTTTCCATATTTTGGCTATTGTGGACACTGCTGCTATAAACATTGGGATGCATGTGCCCCTTCGAATCATTATGTTTCTCAACCTGTTTGCAGTATGTCAAAGCTGTAATCATCAAGACAGTATGGTACTGGTATAAAAACAGACACATAGGTCAATGGAACAGAATAGAGAACCCAGAAATGGACCGTCAACTCTATGGTCAACTCATCTTTGACAAAGATGGAAGGAAGCCAATAGAAAAAAGACAGTCTCTTCAACAAATGATGTTGAGAAAATTGGACAGCCACATGCAGAAGAATAAAAATGGACCATTTTCTCACACCATACACAAAAATAAACTCAAAATGGATGAAAGACCTAATGTGAGAAAGGAGTCCATCAAAATCCTAGAGGAGAACACAAGCAGCAACCTCTTTGACCTCGGCCACAGCAACTTCTTGCTAGACATGTTTCCAAAGGCAAGGGAAACAAAGGCAAAAATGAACTATTAGAACTTAACAAGATAAAAAGCTTTTGCACAGCAAATGAAACAGTTGACAAAACTAAGAGACAGCCTACGGAATGAGAGAAGATATTTACATATGTCTTATCTGATAAAGGGCTAGTATCCAAAATCTATAAAGAACTTATCAAACTCAACACCTTTTCCAGTCAAGAAATGGGCAGAAAACATGAACAGGCATTTCTCCAAAGAAGACATCCAAATGGCCAACAGACACATGAAAAAATGCTCCACATCACTCAGCATCAGGGGAATACAAATCAAAACCACAGTGAGATACAACCTCACACCAGTCAGAATGGCTAAAATGTCAGGAACAACAAATGATGGCAAGGATGTGGAGAAAGGGGAACCCTCTTACACTGTTGGTGGGAATGCAAGCTGGTATAGCCACTCTGGAAAACAGTATGGAGGTTTCTCAAAAAGTTGAAGATAGAGCTACCATACGACCCAGCAATTGCACTACTAGGCATTTATCCTCCTACATTTCTTTGTGCTCTTTCTCATTCCCCTTTACCAAATCCTGCATTCATAACCATCCCATAAATGTTGCTGTGTCACCAGGAAGCCACCACATCCCCATGAGCCCAGCTGCACCAGAATCTCACTTTAGGCTGCAGCCACGTGATGTGCCTTTCTGCTATGTCAGGCTCAGGGAAGCAACAACATATAAACTTCCATACCACAATGGAGGCACTGTGATCCCAGTGTCCCACACCTATCTCAGAGACTAATGAGAGGGATCCCACCTAGCTTTATGTCTCTGTTGACCTCAGTCACCCAAAAGTCAGGTTGCCTACCCATCTACTGGCATCCGGGTTCTCACCCATCTTATCCACAGCTCAATTCCCTAAGCTTGGATCTGACACCATCCAGCCATTCTCCCTGTCCTCCCAGATATCCTCTCCAATCTGCTATTTGGAAGTCTTGCTTGCTGCTATAGACTGCATGTTTGTGTCTTCCCAAAATTCATGTGTTGAAACCCTATTCCCCAATGCAATGTTATCTGGAGGTGGGTCCTGTGGGAGGTAGTTAGGGTTAGAGGGAGTCATGAGGGTGGAGCTTCATGGTGGGATTAGTGCCCTTGTAAGAGTCACAAGAGAGCTTGCTCCCTCTCTCTGATCTCTGTCATGTGAGAATATAATGAGAAGTTGGCCATCTGCAATCCAGAAGAGGGCCCTCACCCAACCCAACCATGCTGGCACTCTGATCTTGGACTTCCCAGCCTCCAGAACTGTGAGAAATAGCTCTCTGTTATTTATAAGCCACCCAGTCTGTGGTATTCTGTTAAAGCTGCCCAACTGCCTAAGACAGTTGTGATCAGTGAATACTATCTTTCCAGACTGCTCCAGTCACTTCTTAGATATATCTGAAATCTGACCACTCCCCAGTCCCCCACCAAGACATAATTAGGATGGTTGAAAGTTGCTTGAGAAAAATCACACATACAGGCTGACTGGTTTCACTTTGCAGTAATAGTGTCAAATGCCAAAGCAGTCCTCATTTGGCCTCGTGATCCAACTCTGTTTTTCTAGTAAGCTGGTTTTCTTCATCCTAAAGGTGAGGATTTCATCTCTTCTCCTCTCTCCCCAACCTCCCCTCACCTCCACCACCAACTTCACACTCTGCTGAGAAGACAGAACCCATCAGACACGAACGCTCTCATCTTCCCATACCAGATCGACTGATGCCTGGGTTGCACTCCTTCCTGTCATAAGTAGAGTCTCCATCCACGTGGCCCCTGGAACCCACCACTCACCTTCTTGAGAACATGGCTCCATGGGACAGCTCTTCTCTCCTAGCTGCATCCATCTCTCTCTCTCTCTCTCTCTCTCTCCCCTGTCACATCTTCCCACCGACAAAAATGCTCTAGTATTTCTCATCTTAAAAAGAACCCTCCCAGGATGCCTGGGTGGCTCCGTCGGTTAAGTGTTTGCCTTCGGCTCAGGTCATGATCCCAGCGTCCTGGGATCAAGCCCCATATCGGGACTCATCCATATCCCTACTGCCTGGCACAGTACCTAGCTCTTAGGAGGTATTTGGTCAATATGAACTGAGCAAATAGATTCCATCCATGGGCCACTCCTTGTCTCTACCATCTCTTTCTTCCTGAAAAACTCAAGCAACATGGTCCTACATGTGATGTTGGCCACCTTTGTAGCTCTGTAGCACATTATCTCTCTCAAGGCACTCTGCTCAGGCAGAGAAAACACTCACTGAGAATTCACAATGCACCAGGCCCTACACTTAGCGGTGGGGAGGCCACAGTGAGTGTGAGTGAGGGTTCCAGATCTCCACGAGACCGGAGTTTCTGGGAAGATAGCTGTAGAACATCCAAGTCACAGAGAGCATGGTAGTTCTGGAAGAGAACCTCAGACACTTACTGCATTCAATGTGTACTAAAATTATCTTGGTATTTGTCTTTTTTTGTTGTTTTTGGTTGTTTTTTTTTAATTTTTTTTTGGTATTTGTCTTATTTTATCCTTCTAGATAAACCCACGAGAGCAGGAAGTGTTATATGTACCTTTTTGGAAATTCTCACAATAATTGCCAAAATCCCTAGTCACAGCAGATCCGTATGAGCTGAAGTGGAACACATCCCATTAATGCTGCTTTTAACAACATGGTCAAAGAAAACTTTTAATATCCCCAAAGCCCCAAATCTTGAGTTTTAATATAAACCCAGACACACCCATTCACTTATTACCAAAATATTTACTAAGTATCTGTTTGGTCTCAGTAATATACTGGCAAAGAATAAGGAAACACCCAGGCCTTTAGACAATTACAGTCTCCCAGAGATGAGCAGTCATAATTACAGCACCGGGTAAGAGCAGTGAGAATGGGCACATGCCTGGTGCCAAGGGCAGCCAAGAGATGGCCACACACTCAGCTCAGGGCTTAGAAGAGAGATCCCCTTTGCCATTTGAGATTGACCTGGGGAAGAGAGGGAGATGGTACTCCAAGCCCAGGACATAGGTACACAAAGTAATATGATGCGGTTAGCAATCCATGACCATGCAGGATTCAGGGAGGAAGGTGCATTGGCTGGACAGGAAATGGGGCTAAATGGGGCTGGAAGGACAGGTTGGTGGCCAGTTTTTAAAGGTCTTTAGAATCCAATATAAGGAGTTTGGGATATTATATCAGTGACTGGGTGCCTTTGAAGGGTTTGCACAGGAAAAGAGGTATCATCAGGTCTATAATGTAGAACTGTGACGGGTATCAATGAGATTTGAGGGAGAAGCAGAAGGAATGGGCCACTGTCCAGCTGTGGCCACAGTCTAGGTGAGGTGGCATGTACCTGAGAAGCTTTCTTCTTCTCAGACCCTGACTTGGGGGCCAAAGAGACAGGGAGGCATTCTCTTAGCTCCTATTGTACCAAGGAACCACCATGGCCTTTGTACCCTAGTGACATTGTCTAGACTTTGACACTAGTCCTGTCCTTCATGATTTTCTTCCAGCCATGCAGGAAGGTACTCAAGGGCAGTGAACATGTCTCATGTGACCTCGCAAATAGTAAACAGCACTAACAATCACAGTTACTCTGAGCAGGCACTCTTCTGAACACTCAGCATGTATTAACTCACTTAATCATCACAGCCCTACAAAATAAATGCTTTTATTATACCCATTTTACACATGGGAGATTAAGAACTAGAGATGCCCTTACGGAGCCCTTATTTTGCAGATATAATGCTCAGCCCTCCACTTGAATCAAATGATCTAGTGCTCACTTCAACCCCATGACACAGGTTGTGAGATAGTGGGTGAGCATGGAATCTATTTACTCAGTTCATATTGACCAAATATCTCCTTAAGATAGAGATATTAAGGAAACTGAAGCAGAGAGGGTAAGTAACTCATCCAAGGTTACACAGCAAGTTTGAGGAAGAGGCAAGATTCAAACCCAGCACCCTGGTTCCTCTGCCTGGGCTCCTAGCTATCACATTAGGTGCAAAGTAGGTGGATCACCAATGATTCCTGAATTCAGTGAAAGTTACAGGTATACAGGTGAGCACCCCCATTCTGATCAAAGTCCCTCTCTGCCTGGCCATCACATGGCCCTGTGCTGTGGTGACACTGGCTTTAAGAACCTTCCCTGTTAGTTTCCCTTCTCCAGAGGTTACCCTGGAGGGAAAGTCCCCTAGGGCCAGTGAAGCTCTTCCTTGCTCCTAGGTAATGATAGCCCCTTGGGGAGTTACAGGCTTGGATGGGAGGGTGGGATTACCTGGTACCCATAGATGTGCTGCATCAGGTGATCACACATGACATTGCTGGTCAGGACAGAGTGCAAGACTTTCACAGCTGCATACATAGTGTGGTCATCTGTCGCTAAGGAAACGAGGCCCAGGAGGATGGCTGGCCCGCCAATGAAGTCCAGGCTGCTGGCTGCTGGGATGGAGTGGAACACCCTTATGCCTGTGCCGGACAAAGGGCATTCCATCAATACATCGCAGGTTCAGGGCAATGGCAAGTCCCCTGGAAGCCCGCAAGGGCAAAAGAGCTACAGGTGCCAGTGCCACCGTCCACTCACAGCAGAGGGGCCTGTGCATCTGGGACAGGCTGGGAGTGGGAGGAAGGGTGGGGGGTTTGAAAGTCTTAGCTCACTGAGAGATCCTGCCCTGAGTTCTTCCTGGGTCACCAAAAGGCTGAAACAGCCCAGAGGATTTCAGATCACCGCCTCTATCTCCGTCCGGAGTGCTGGGCGAGCCACAAGCTCTCTGAGCCTCGGGCCACTGGTGGCTCGGACAACCCCGGGCTCTTGTCTGCTCTCTAGATCCTGCAAGACTGGACCTTGCACCAACCTCCTGCTCTGCTCTTGCCCAACTGCACAACAAGCAGCAGTCACCGGCTGTTGTTTTTACCCAAACAACCACAACCATCGCCTCTGTCAAAGGGCCCGACCGTGCCCACTAGATAAGCTCCATTGTGCATAGATGCCAGCCTGGTTAAGCTGAGTTCACTAGCAACTGCCAGATGTGGCAAGGTGAACCGACCTCTATGCAACGTGGAAGGCTAACTCTCCAACAGGACTAAATCTCCAACTCTCACCCTCATTGGATAGCCGTTCAGAAGTCCAGGCTACACAAGCAATGACAGCCACATGCCCATCTTCCCAAATAGTAGTAAAAGGTCAAAGCCTGACCTACCTAAATGGCCCACAGCCACAGCTCCCACGGTTCGAAGAGAACCCGAGAAGTGGCCAGCACAATTTCTTAGCAAGAACACAGGCATGGCATTGTCACGGGATGAAATGTTCATCTAGAGAAATGAGCAACAATTAGTCCAAAGAAACATGCTGGAATGGAAGAGCTTTTATTCATGAGGTCCTGGAGGGCAGGCACCCCAAGTCCTGGTCCAGTGTTGGCCCTCAGTAAGAGAAAGTCAGTGAATAAATAGTAAATGAACCAATGTCAGGGAGACTGAAGCCAAAATTTGGTTTCCCATGCCCCACTACCCAGGCTGTGGCTCAGTCATGTGGGAACAGCTCTGGTGGTGCAGTTGAGCCACAGATGTCCCACACGTCACAATGAAGAGCTAATGAGGGCAAGGTGGACCCAAGGACATGTGGAGGTGAAACGGAGCCACGAAAGCCAGGCTGCCCCCTTCCCAGTCCAGGTTGTCTAGACTCTGCAAGCCTTGGCCTCACTGGTCTCAGAGGGCTAGGCAGATGGGAGTCCGGGGTGCTCTGTGGGTAAAGCACAGCTGTGGTGCTCAGCAAGACCTCATCCCTTGTTTACTGAGCCTCTTCAGTAAAGGGAGATGGCCCTCTGTCTGTGAGGGTGGAGAAAATGTAAACAAATCGGCCCCAATTCATCAGCATTAAGCAAGAGAGCACTCTCTGCAGGAATCAGGAAATACTTCATCTAATGGCATCTTCATCTACATACATGTCTGCTTGCTGTTTTGCAAGTTTGCTGTTTAAAATAAACAGGGCAACTCACAGAACATTTTGCAGGGTTGGGGGGTCAGTAGCATCCAGAAAAAAGAAGCTCAATAGTGTTTTCAGTGTCTCAAAGGTTTTTCAAATTCCATTTGTTCCTGTTCTCCAGTGAAGAATAAAGAGCACCTACTTTCTCCTCTGAGCAATTATAAATAAAAGGTTTAGTCTCAGGGGACGCTAATGGGTGGGGAGAGGCATATGCTATTTTAACAAATGAAATGGGCAGCACGCCTGTGTGTATCTGTCTCCACATGCACAAACATGAATTAGTGTTCACTTAAGCACTGAAAGCTGAAGCAAGCTATGAGATCATGATTCCAAAAGGGGGCAACAAGTGAAGGCAAAAGTCATACCTCTTTGGCAATCAGGCGGCTGTCCACCTCACTGTAAGTGTTTCTGATGTCTGTAACGCTGGTGATGGAGGAGCTGGCTAGGTGAAGGCCAAAGGAAACCCTTTCCTCTGCAACCAGGGGCATCACTTCTATATCAGTGTCCACTCCTAAAACAACACATCTTTGATCATCTCTACTCTCTTTACAGAAAAGAAAGTACAAGCTCAGTAAAATAAATAGCTATGGCTATATGGCGAAGCTATCATTGAGAGACTGTCTTATGTTGTTATATTGTATGTTTGTATGTTGTATGTTTATGTCACATGCTTGCCCCTATCAGTGCTTCTCTGACACTTAACAGAAAACTGTGGATAAATCTCACAGGATTAACCCTACTATAAAATAAAGGCATTCAAAGTGTGAAATCACTAAGCTTGAAGCATCTACCGAGGAGATGATATAACCTCACCCTCCAAAACCAAAATGCTGAGTGATAAGAAAGCTGACTTATTAAAAAAGAGAGAGAGAGACTGGGCTGAAAGCCCTAAGATTTTCAATGAGCCAAATGCCATGGTGAGCTTGGAATGAACACCCTGGTCCCTGGGTCAAGGAAAGCCATGCATGCTCCTGGAACCGCATGGCCTGAATAGCCAGTGGGCAAAATTTTGGCTCTAGACTTTACCTCATCGCCTGGCTCTGGCCAGTGCCATCTGCCAGAGGAAATGGAAGCTTGAAGAAGACATGGGGCCTGGAGACAGAAACACTCTACAGTGCTCAATCGCCCTTCACTATGCACAAGTCTTCTGTACATAAATTCATTCATCATTCTTCCCAGATGGGAGCTGACCCCCTTGACTTGATAGAGCACAGAGAACAGTACTCCCTACTTGAACAGCCAGAAATCAATAATGGAAATGTGGATGTGTTTGTCTGCCTGTTTAATAATTGAAGACAGCAGTATACTTTAGTTAAAAAGCTTCTTCATTAAAAGGAATGTAACTTATTTATCGCATTCTCTTCTCTCGTTCTTTGCTCATGGTATTACCTACCCATTCTCCTCCATTATGTGCTTTGGAGTGGAAATCTAAAGGATATTGTCATTTCCTTTTCTGTGACATATTCTGTTGGGTTGTAAATTTATAATGATCCAATTACAAAGGTCTTCCCTAATGACTAACCTATGCTGAGTTTATTCTTTATAAATATGCTATAAATAACTGGATGTCCATTTAAAAAATAATACCAGCGAGATCATTATAAATCAAAACACTCCATACCTTGAGCATGCACAGCTTGGAAGTTACCACAGTATCTTGGGCCAAGTTTGTTAATAACTTCCAGAGTGTCCACTGAGATGGCTTCTTCAAAGAGGTATGTAGGGCCAAGACGCCATATTAATGACGACTTTTGTTTCCAAACTTGAGGGGTAGCAATATATCCATAAACATCCACAAATGAAGATGGATCCATTGAAAGGAAAGGCCCTGGTAAGGCCTGAATATACAACATCTGTTGAAATTAAAAGGATGGAGGTAGGGGGAAACGGAGAGATTTAACCTTAGAATTAATCAAATAAACACCCGTGGATATAAAATTATATACCTTATTCCCTAAAAGTAAAAGCTTCTTTTATCTACAAACATTAAAAAGCTCACTCTCAAAGCTGAGAAACAATGCAGGAAAACAGTTTACAAAATGCTGGTGGGAGTGAAAAACTGACACCATGCCTCTGGAAACAAATTTGATGAGGAATATTAAGAGCCACTAAAATGTTTATCTTTTGTATTCCAGTCATTCCACTGAGAACCTAAATGTCCAGTATTTGCACATCCATTAAGTTTTATGTACTAAAATAATTACAGACATATCCAAATGGAAAGGAAGAAATAAAATTATCTCTATTTCCAGATGACATGTCCATGTGGAAAATTCCAAAGAATCTACAAAAAAAAAAAAAAATGCCTAGAACTAATAACAGTTCAGCAAGGTCACAGGATATATGATCAACATACAAAAATCAATCACATTCTACAGGCTAATAATGAACATGCAGAAACTAAAATTAAAAACACTATCATTTACAATTGCTCAAAAGAAAATGAAATATTTAAATAAAAAATGTATGAAATCTACATACTAAATATTCAAAAATGACAATGAAAGAAATCAAAGAAGACCTATATAAATGGAGAGGCATACCATATTCCTGGATAGGAAAACTCAACATAGTAAAAATATTATTTCTCCCTAAAATGATCTATAGGTTAATACAGTTCCTATCAAAATGTCAGCAGGCTTTTGTAGACACAGACAAGCTAATTCTAAAATTTATATTTGAAGGTACAAGCCCTAGAATAACTTAAACAAATAGCTTAATTCTTCTTTTTCAAAAAGAAGAGTGATTTTGATTATCTTTTTTGAAAGAGAAGAATTAAGTGGGAGGCGCCATTCTAACCAATATTATTATAGAGCTTATTACATAGCTACAATAATTAAGATAGTGTGGTCTTGGTAGGAGTATAGTCACATAGATCAGTAGAACAGAATATAGAATCTAGAAATAAATCCATACAAAAGTGCCGAACTGATTTTTGATGAAAGTTCAAAAGCAATTCAGTGGAGGAAGGGTAGCCTCTTCAACAAATGTTGCTGGAACATCTGGACATCCATGGGCAAAGAAATGAACTTCAGCCTAAACTTAACACCTCCTACAAAACTTAACTCATAAGAGATAACAAATTTAAATGTAAATCTAGAAAACTTTTAGAAAAAAACACAGAAGAAAATCTTCTGGATCTAGGGCTAGGCAAAGAGTTCTTAGACTTGACACCAAAAACATGGGTCATAAGAGGAAAATCTGATGAATTATACTTCATCAAAATAAAAACTTTTGGGCGCCTGGGTGGCTCAGATGGTTAAGCGTCTGCCTTCGGCTCAGGTCATGATCCCAGGGTCCTGGGATCGAGTCCCGCATCAGGCTCCCTGCTCCTTGGGAGCCTGCTTCTCCCTCTGCCTCTCTCTCTCTCTCTCTGTCTCTCATGAATAAATAAATAAAAAGTTCAAAATAAAAACTTTTGTTCTGCAAACTCCTATGGGAAAGAAGACGGAACACAAGCTACTGACTAGGAGAAATTCTTTGGCAAATCACACATCAAAGGACTAGTATCTAAGGCCGAGCAATGTTGAGCACTTTTTCATGTGTCTGTTGGCCATTTGGATGTCTTCTTTGGAAAAAGGTCTGTTCATGTCTTCTGCCCGCTTCTTGATTGGATTATTTGTTCTTTGGGTGGTTGAATTTGATAAGTTCTTTATAGATTTTGGATACTAGCCCTTTATCTGATATGTCATTTGCAAATATCTTCTCCCATTCTGTCAGTTGTCTTTTGGTTTTGTTGACTGTTTCATTTGCTGTGCAAAAGCTTTTTATCTTGATGAAGTCCCAATAGTTCACTTTTGCCCTTGCTTCCCTTGCCTTTGGCGATGTTTCTAGGAAGAAGTTGCTGCGGCTGAGGTCGAAGAGGTTGCTGCCTGTGTTCTCCTCTAGGATATTGATGGACTCCTGTCTCACATTTAGGTCTTTCCTCTCCATTTTGAGTCTGTTTTTGTGTGTGGTGTAAGGAAATGGTCCAGTTTCATTCTTCTGCATGTGGCTGTCCAATTTTCCCAACACCATTTGTTGAAGAGACTGTCTATTTTCCATTGGACATTCTTTCCCGCTTTGTCGAAGATTAGTTGAGTAGGGGGTGAGACGGATGGGGTGGCTGGGTGATAGACACTGGGGAGGGTATGTGCTATGGTGAGCACTGTGAATTGTGTAAGACTGATGAATCACAGACCTGTGCCTCTGAAACAAATAATACATTATATGTTAAAAAAAAAAAAAAAGAAGATAGTAGGAAGGGAAAAAGGAAGGGGCGGGGATTGGAGGGGGAGAGGAACCATGAGAGACTATGGACTCTGAGGAACAAACTGAGGGTTCTAGAGGGGAAGGGGGTGGGGGGATGGGTTAGCCTGGTGATGGGTATTAAAGAGGGCACGTATTGAATGGAGCACTGGGTGTTATACGCAAACAAGGAATCATGGAACAGTACATCAAAAACTAATGATGTAATGTATGGTGATTAACATAACATAATAAAATAAAATTTAAAAAAAAGTACTAGTATCTAGAATATATAGAAAACCCCTTAAAACTCAAGAGGAAAAACAATCAATCCAATTAGAAAATGGTCCCAAGACATGAACAGACATCACTTAAGAGGATATACAGATAGTAAATAAGCACTTGAGAAGATTTTTAATCTCATTAGCCATTAAAGAAATGCAAATTAAAAACACAATGAGCTATCACTACACACCTATCAGAATGGCTAATATAAAAAACGGAATGCACACGGAATGCAGAGAAAATGGATCACTCATCTATTGCCAGTGGGAAATGTAAAACGTTACAGTCATTTTGGGGAAATGATTTGGCTGTTTCTTTATAAAACTAAACACACAATCACCATATGACCCAGCAATTGAACTCTTAGGCATTTATCCCAGAGAAATATGGACTTAAGTTCACACAAAAACCTGTACACAAATGTTCATAGCAAAACAAAGAAGATAAAAAACCAAAAAGGAAAAAAATGTTCATAGCAGCTTTATTTGTAATATCCAAAAATTGGGAACAGCACAAATGTCCTTCAATCAGTGAATGGTTACATATACAACCATATCATGGAACACTACTCAGTGATAAAAAAGAATTAACTATCGATGCACAGCAACAATTTGGATGAATTTTCAGAGAATTATGCTGATTGAAAATCCAATCCTAAAAGATCATGTACTGTACAGTTTCATATATATCATATCCTTGAAATGAAAACATTCTAGATTATGGGTTGCAAGGTTAGGGACAGGGATAAGGGAGGGAGGTGTGGTTGAGTGGGAGTGGCTATAGTTTTAATTTTTATAAAAGGGCGACACAAGGGAACATTGATTGTGGTGACATAAACATTCTGAATCTTGGCAGGAGTCACGGACATAGGAACCTACACGTGTAATAAAATTGTGTGTGGAACACATACACATATACACAAGTATAAGTAAAACTGGGATATCTGAACAAATTAGCAGATTGTATCAATATCAATATCTTGGTTATGAAATTGTTCTACAGTTTTATAAGATGCCACCATTGGAGAGAAACTAGGTAAAAGGTACACAGAATTTCTTGCTATTATTTCTTACAACTACATTGTAGCCTACAATTATCTCAATAAAAATTTCAATAAACGAAAACTAGTTAACAGAGTATCACAAATTTTAAAATGATAATTTCAAAGCTTATGCAGGTAAACATTTTTTAACTAATACTAAAAATTAACTAATATACAATATTTTCTATGTAATAAAGTCACAGCTATTTTTTTAAAGGGAAAAAACTAAAAGAAACTACAAACTATGGTAAGATAGAAGGAATATAGGCATTCTTTCTTCTTTTCAATATTTTTCAGGCATTTCAAAATCTGTTTATATAATTTTTATAATGACTATAAAATCACCATATCCACATTCATGTATATAAATACATATTTTTCAAATGAGAGGTCATATAATTTCAGAAACAGTCTTTTTCTCTCTGCCAATTAAATGAGATTTTCAAACAAGAAAAAACCAAGTTTTCAGTCACCAGGCCTGCCTAGAGTGGGGTCCACTGTGCTCTCTTTCCCCCTCCCCTCCTGCCAGGCAGGGATTTCTCTCTCTCCTGCACTGAAGCTCTGCCCCACCCCTGCAATCCAGTTTGCCTTTTTTTCCAAATTCCTACTGCATATACTCACTGCACCATCTGCATTGATTTACAAACATAAGATGTCTCAAATTGCTCCCACATCATTTTGCTCAGGCTGCTGAAATACTCCCCACCTTTTAAAATTTAACTTATCTTCCCTTGGAAATTAAAACAAAGTCTCTAATATTAGAGAACCATCGTTAAGCTGGGTCATCCCCAACCTAAGCTCTCCCATCTTGTTCTTGCTCAGCAGATGTCTACATCTAAACACAGGCCTTCCCATTTATCCCAGTTAAATTTCACTTGCTGATCCTGAACCAACTCGTTGAGATCATCTTGGAAAGTCAACTCTGTCTGACTCAACTCTTGGTCATTCCCCATGGCATGTTTTGGCATATCCCTGTGGCCCCACACCACTGCCAACCTTTCTGCTGACTGACTCTGGCTTAGCTGGTCCCATGAGGTCAGTTGTTCATCCATGTACCAATTCACTCAACCACACAATCATCCAGTCCGTCTTACTCCTTTTGGCTATAAATTCAATGCAATTCATCAAATACTTATTGCATGCTTACTGTGTGTCAGCCCCTGTGCTAGGTGTGAGCAAGGTCCAAACATCAGTAGGACTTGTTTCTTAGCCTCAAAGTCCATGAACTATTTCACAGAATACCAGCCTATTCTATAAAACAAAACAGAATACTAATATGTTTTGCAAAATAAGGAAAAAAAAACAAAAAACAAAAACAAGCCCACTCTGTAATCATACCTGAACAGATAATAACAAAGACACTGTGCAACCACAAAAGTAACCACACTTTCCATCCTGGCTAGCGTGAGTGACACTGCTTTTTTCTCCAATGACAACTCTAACCTGCTCCATTCCTCCTACTTCCTGGATAAAAGTTCTGAACACACACAGAAATCAAATTCCCTCTTTCTGACAGCACACAATTGAAAACAGACCAACCTCCACTTTTTGGACTCTTCCCCAAATCACCTAAAATAAGCCCTATCTAAGCTCCTTCCAAGTCTTTGTTACCCCACAGAACAGAGTGTCCCGCTACGGCAAGCTTAATAAATCTAAATTTTATACTATATGCACACTCCTGGAGGTATTTGGCTGGTGGGCATGGACAGTTCCTAGCATCTAAAACAGTACCTAACAAAGAGTGGGTGCTCCAAACTATTTAATGAGGGAAGGAAGGAAAATAAGAAGGAAGGAAGGGAGGGGAGGAGAGGGGAGGGAAGGGGAGGAGGGGAGAAGAGAGGAAGGGATGGGAGGGGAGGGAAGGGGAGAGGGGAGAGGGGAGGGAAGGGGAGGAGGGTAGAAGAGAGGAAGGGATGGGAGGGGAGGGAAGGGGAGGGGACAGGAGGGGAGGGAAGGGGAGGGGGGAGAAGAGAGGGAACGGAGGAAGGAAAGAAGGGCTAGTATCATCAATGATTTGAGAAAAGAGTTAACCTCATGT